ATCATCATCATCATCATCATCATCATCATCATCATCATCATCATCATCATCATCATCCCTGGAATTCGAGTGGACCCAACATTTGGTTTGTGTGAAGAAGAGAGATGTGTGTTGCCCATGCCCATCACGTTTCGCTTTGGCAGTGTAATGATGTCGTTCGCAGTTTGAAGGTGGTTTGCCCTTTCCATTGCTTTACACCATGAGTCTCTTGGCCGCAGCATTGGTCAATAGAACAGTAAGACACGTCGACTGGCTTTTCCATCAGTAACTGACCTACCCAGGAAGTCCGTAGATCTGCCCCACCTTCTTTATCCTTCTGCATGATGTTTTCCCCCTTCAATCTCCGGCGGAGTCAGTTCAGAATCACAGGAATAAGCCCTGTCCACCTCAATCAGAATCCCTGTCCACCTGTTTTTACCCTTCCTTCAGACTCACCGGTTATTCCCTTCAGATTCCTTCCGAACCCGAACCCACACCCGTCGCCGTCGCGGTTCGCTGCGTTCGGCCCGATCGCGGCAATGCGTCCGGTGGCCATGGGTCGGCATGAGTGAAGAGTCTTCCGGTCCAATGAATGGTCTGGATGGCAGAAGGCATAGAAGACCTCATACCCAGCCAGTTGCGTCGACCAAGGTCGATCCACGTCATGCTGTTTCGGGGATTCCTCTAGAGAAAATCGTTGGTCCCAATACCAGTAACAGCCGGTAAAGGATTATCACTATGTTTTGAGAAAGGCCTTTACTGACTATCATCCACTGCGCCCTAGTACTGGGATACACCCAATTTTGTGATTTTCTCCTTTGGGAAGTGAGCAAATTCGCCATCCAGACCCAGTACAACAGTTCCTTTATACAGATCACCAGCCTGAGGTCATATGGTTTTGAAGGGCTGCTTCGCGCTCTTCTACTTGAAAGTCACATGCCAGCCGCTGGGCCTCCCAAGGCAAGGTCTTGCACGAGGACCACAGAAAATGGCAGGAGAATCAATTGCAAACGAGTTTGCGGCGGTGCATGAAATATAGATGACATCTGGAACATGTCAAGAAAACCGTGTTGTTTTGTGTTTGCACCTATTTGACGTTGAACCAATTTTCTGTTTCAGCAATGATACCTGGAGCTGATCAGCATGTTGGTTGGACTTCAGTGCTGATCCACCGCCTGGACCGGTGGCTCCATGAGGAGAGCGACAAGTATCTCGCTCACAGGATGGACAAATATATATATATATATAGAGCATGTGTATATTCCATAGATTTCCTATAGTCTAGAAAATGGCATATATAGAGCCCTACAAGCATATAGGGGTCCACATATGCCGTAGAATGGCATAGTCATCCACAGGGTGGCTTTACGGGTTTTAGGATTCAATATGTGTATGCTCGCAGGTTTCAAGACATCACGGCGTCCTGAAATCCCAGGGAAACCCGAAATCAATGCATTTGGCAAGAGGATGACTTTATTGTCTAGAGCCAAGGCCATAAGTCCAAAAGACTCCCTGGTTTTGAGAGTGCCTGTGAAAGACTCTGTTAAGAGCTCTAAGTATTCCTCACGAGAGTGACTCTTTATTTGTGTGAAGTGCCTGATTTGCTGTGCAATGTACTCTGACTTTGCAGCAAAACATCACAGCATTTGTTGTAGGTCCAATGAATCAAACGCATCGTCAAACAACAATGTTTCGCTGCAACGAACCTCGTTCTTCGGACCAATGACTTCTCGGGTGATCCTGTCAGTCGCGGCGCTTGCTGTGGGGCAACGCTGGTGGGGGTGATGACTGCCTTGGACGTGGCGGCTTCAAACATGAGTGGCTCGGTGAGTGGCGCGCGCAGCCACGATGGAAAACTGGGCATCGCGACTAGTAGCAAGGGCATAACTACTAGTAGCAGGAAGCTACTAGTAACAAGGGCATCACTACTATAGTGACAAAGGGGTTATGATGGATTACTATGGATGGGTTGCTCGGCGCCGGGTCAATAAGTTATGGAGTTATGAACGACTTAAGGACCAGAAGCGAACGAAGCGTCACATGATGTTTGGAGTCGACCTCCTTCGTACCTGTTTCGGGTTTCATGGAACTCGTCGAGTTATGAGGTCCCCATGGGCAGCCATACATTCAGTGGAGCTAAAATCGTTGTTTACACCAACACACCAAACAAAACACACCCAAAATAGAACAAACAGAATAAGGCCTTTGGATATTATGTGGTTGCTTGTTCTTTTCACTTCACAAAGAACATTCATTCATGTACCTTTCTATCATCCTCGAGGTCATGGAAGAGTGTGAATCAGGAAGTGCAGAGGGTTTAGCGTTGGTGCTGGGTCATTTCCAGGTTTCACCACCCCTTTGCCCAAATTTACAGTACTTGATATGGGTGCTAATCCTATCTAATCCTGTATGATTCAATTTGTTTTGATTGTTTTGCAATATAATACATATACTGTATATATATATATATACTATACAAACAAAACATGTTAATACTAATCGGTGCTTATCAGAAACGTACTTGCACCCTACAGCCAATCTTGAACCTGTCCATTTCACATACCACCCCCGGCCGCCCGAGGTTTCCTTTTCATCACCGTGGCCTTCTACACGATGCTCAAGCGACTCTACGTCAGTCCTTTGAGACCGTTGTCAGGAGTTGGACGCGTTTGTTTCTGCGGGTGATAGTAGCTATAGCTGGATCAACTGCGCAGAATTGATGCCTTTAAAATTCAAACCAGCCAAGAGGCGTAAGAGGCTAACAGGTGCTTTTGCATGTTGCATAGTTGGAAGCTCTATAGGAATCCCCGGCCGGGCAAATGCTCAGGGAGCAGGAGGGAGTGACGGTGTTCTGGGGTCGAGGCTATCCATCTTCCCCATGAAAAGATGACGCCCTTCGGAACGACCACAAGGAGTTCCGTCCCCGAAAGCTCTTCTGGCTTTTTTGCGGATTTGCAATTGTTTGTTCTCGGGTGGATTTGGAGGTTCGTGGCTGAGTCAGTCCAAAGATCAACTTCCCGTTTGGCCTCCGTTTTCGTACCGAACCGCTTCGGTTCGGTGGGACGAGCGGGGCCCGGGTGCCCTGGTCGGGTCCAGCTGGAGGTGTAGGGTTTGAGTTTGAGTCCCGTTCAGAACAGCACCCGACTCCGGGGGTGGAAAAATGACAACTGAATTAATAAGGAGTTCAAGAGAAGTGTTCATATGATGTCCTCGTCAAGACTCTGGGCTCAAATCTTAAATGATGATTTGATATAGGGATATACAGGGATTGGCCATAAGGAGTCTTGGGGATTTGATGCGCCATCCATGACTCCTTCCCCAGTTTGCTCCCCAAACCAGGCGCCTGGGCCAAAGTGGGAAGGTCTTGAAAGGCCTTGAAGAACTCAGGTCCGCCTCATTGATTTTCATCCTGGCCGCGCACTCAGCGTTTCGAACATCTCACCGCCTGCCGGGGCGTGAAAATCGCTCTCAGAGGGGTTGCCGGACATAGTTGGAAAAGCAAGACTTGGTCATGTAAGAGGAAAAAACAGGAACTGGGCAACTGGGCATCAACAATGCAGACAGTGATTAGAACACACACAAGGGCCTGGACCTGGTACTTCGCATGTTTGGCAAGACTTTCCTGCAACGGGCTGATCGCTGCAGTTTGTCAAATGCTTGCTGCTTAGGTCTTGGGTGTCCTGATACGGATGGAGAAATGTGCGGGGCCCGAAAACCACAGCCGATACGGATTCGGCTGGACATTTTGGATTGGCGTTCCTTTTGGGAGCACGGAAGAGACACCCTGGGAATTGACAGTGGCAGTCTCCAACGCAAGGAACACCCTGACACCACGCATGTGTGACAAGGACCAGTGACAAGGACCCATGTTTTCCACCCTTGGAGAACGATGACTGGTGCTGAAATGGGTTTCTGCGAAGAAAGAACGCAGTTGGTCATGTTCAAATTCAGGCCATGCATGCAGGACCACAAGGAAGAGCATAGGAGTGCCAGTTGGTCAACCTATATAGATGTGGAGAACTGAACGATCACAATTAGTCATCGAATTCCCAGAGTCAGGTGCCTTTGGGTAGGAAGCGGATACCACGAGCTTTAGAGGATGATCAACTCCCCAGATCAGTTGTTCAGGAGGGTCTTGGCGGGTGCCTTTACTGGAAGTGTAGGCCTCACCCAGAGTCACCTCAGTCCATGTCTTAATGCGAGCGATTGTCAGTGCACTGTTCAGTTACTCCCAAGGGAACTACCGTAAGTGATGATCAGGCCGGGTCCATGTAACGCTACGGCGCGCGCGCGTTCGGGGGACCCCAAGGGGTCAGGTTCGCCCTAAAAGTTTCACGAGAAAACATGAGAACACGTGGAATACTTTCAGGGCCCCCTGTTTTCTTAGAGGTTGAAGGAGTGTCCATTAACCACCCCTTAGACTTAGGGGGCCCTGGTGTGTGTGTGTGTGTGTTCTCATTTGCGAGAAAGTCGTCTTTGATGTCTGGGCCATGGTCCACATCCATGGCATGGATATGCATGGATTGTTGGATACTGTCAGCGATGGGTGGGCTCTCTGAGGTAGCTTCGGGATTGCTGGAACCGTCCTTTTGCCTTGCCCTCAGATGAAGAATGACAGACAGATGGGCTGCTCTCCGAGGCGTCGAACGAACCACACAAACGACCAGTCACCCTACCCAGAAAAGGTGGATCACCTGACAAAAACAACAAAAACGTTTTGTTGGTTTAAATGTTATGAGTTTTCCCAAACTGAAATCCAACACCCTAGAGCTCCAAGTACCTCCTCAGAAGGATAACTATTTGGACCCTCCTGGCACCCACCCCAGTCCCACCGAACCTCAGGTTCGGTGCGACAACGGAGCCCCAAACGGGACAGGTGGAGTTCGTTCAGTTCACCGAACTCGTGGCAGGGTTCCAGTGTTCTCCATTTGCCACGCTGGCGACCGAACACCAGTCGATCTCCTGGTGACCCACAGATATATACCTAGATCTTCGTATGAGGCACTTTTCCAAAGAAGTTGCCTTTTGCATCCTTTTGCTATATACCAAAGTCCACCAAATTGATCTGGGTATCGCTTGAGCCCCCCCCCAAATCCAATGCGTCACACCTCTTCACCCTCTCACCTTCGCTCTCGCTTCGCTCTACGAGGATCGCGCTGGGCATCTTCATGACTTCCTACGGCGAGACGGAATTTGATGTACAAGGCTTCTGGCTGGTGATCAGCACGGAGCCTTAGAAACAGTCGGGCGATGCCCGAGTCGGTCGGTCTGAAGAACGAACACCCTGTGTTGAACAGACCCAGACCATCCATGAGAGTCTATAGTTCATGGTCAACCTACCAGAGCCAAACGGGCAAGCCAGGTGAAATGACCCACCCATTTTGGACACCCAAAGCGCTATTTTGGGGATCGAGGGTTTGGCGGTTTGCCTGTTCGAAGATGTAAGAAGTAGAGATTCTTTATTTTCTTATCTCATGCAGAATGGTGCTTGGAAGTAGATGTTTTTGTTTCAACGTCCTCCAAAGATGCTGATCCAGATGAGTTCCTGTGGTTTTATGTCACAGGCAAATTAGTTGATAGGGTTATAGGATCGTCGTGTTTCTGTGGATATTGGCGGCTGGGGCAGGTAGATGGACCACTACCAGATCTACAGTATATAGGCCGGTAAAATCACAGACTCCTCCCAACTCCCAAAACTCACTGCAGAAGCACCCATAGGGATCGTTTGCTCCCTAGGGATCCAGTCGTACCTTCTCAGGTACGGTGATTGGACACACTGTTCTGTAGGTGGAGGGTCTAAGTACCGAACCTGAGGTTCGGTACGACTGGATCCCTCCTCGGGGCTGAGCAACATCTTTACCACCCACCAGGTCACCCTGCCTCGCCTTCCTCACGCCTTGCGTTCGTCCTTTCGAGGCTCCGAGCTGTTTGCCGCGATGCGATGGCTGGCCACGCAGAAGACCTTGCATGCCAGCGGCCTGAGCGTCGCTCGGAAGGAAACGACATGGGTGGAGCCGTGGGCCTCCGTGGCCAAGCGGCAGCGGATGATTTGTTTGGTTCTTTTGGGACTGGGGATAGCTGGTAGTTTGCTTGCCGCTCAGAGCAAAATGACTACAATCATTGAAGTGTGGTTCAAACAGCAGCTCCCTTTGGTATACTCACTCTTAGACTTAGACCCTGATTCATAAGGGGATTTACGACCAAACCCCGGTTCAACCCTTAGCAGATCTTAGCAGGACCTTAGCGATCGTCACGAGGGTACCACATTCAATAGGCCGCCGCATGCCTTGCGGCCGCGCCACCGGTGGGGCCTTTGGGGACGGGACGACCTGCGGGGTCCCGGTCGCGAAGAGGGTCCGCTGAGGGTCCCGAGTTTGGAGCGAAGTCCACGACCTGTCTGGGACTGGCAATCCAGGGCCCTTTTGGGGTGGGGTGGTTGAAGAGGGGTTAAATGGGATCGGCTTTTTTGGACCAGTCCCATCGGGAGTGTTGGGGGAGTTGCTGGGATTCTTGGGTAGGGTATTGACCCTTGAGGACGCAGTCGAAGGTTGCTCAAGTTCGTATCTGGCATGCCAGATTGGTCAGACTGGTTCATTACTACGTATATATTAATAAGTATATATATATATATGAATCCATCGATGACATGGTCTGGGTACCTTTCTTTGGGTTTGGTTACGTTATTTGTGCTCTCTTGGCCTTGACCGGGTAAACATCTAGGACCAGGCAGCTGGCAAGTCAGGAAAACCAAGCTGTTTTGTCCCAAAAACCGTGGGGCCGGAACCAGCAGCACCTGGATCTTCCCAGTGACCTAAATCGATCCCTTAAAGTCTGAGGTCACGAACAAGCCTGTATACGTTGGGTCACCAGGTCGTTCGCTCTCAGGGAAGGTTCTGTTGCTGTGGCTTCACTTATGGGTTTTTGAAGCTGGAAGGATCCAAAACGAGCTGGAAGGAGCTGCATGCCTAAGGCGATGCAGACGGTGCTTTTCATGCCAGTGACCTCAGCGGTTCAACTTGCTGTCGGAATCCGCGAGCCACACTCAGTTGAGCGTTTGGCTTATGTGTTTGTTGTTTTTGTGTTTTCAATTGTGAGTTTGCACGGTTATGAATTCTTAAAGAAGAAGGATCCGCAAACCTCTCCCAAACAAGTATTATCACACTGAACCATCATTCTATCGCATTATATCACATGAACAAGTATATGTATAATGTGTATGTATATAATATTATTTGTTTCTGTTTAAGTATCACATTATATCACATTATTATTATTATCATAAACTTGTTATTAAGTGTTCTATTTGTTGCACTCCTTCGTTGCTCACTGGGCGTTGTTTTTCACCCTCAGTTCACTGGATTCCGTCCCTCCACCGGGGAGTGCGTCCCTCACTGCGGGACGCACGAGCGGTGCGTTCGCTCGCAGCCAGGCGATTCCGGCCAGAGACCCCAAACAGTGTGTGAGGTCTGTAAGCAGAAAGTCTAAAGATCGGTGAACAATAGGTGAACCTGTTTTTGTGTTATTGTCTTTGTGTGTTTTTGAGCGCAATTCTAGTTCTCCATGGTGTGGCTTGGGATCGGCGTTTGCTTGGGGCGTGCTGGAGCAGGTGCTGGTGTGGGTGCTGCTGAGTGTTTGCCAGGGATGACATCATGTCATGCCAGGTATGGCATCACGTCATGAAAAGGATGACATCATTGCATATTATCCTCTCATATTTGTCCGAGAAATTGACGCATGTATTGCCTTGTGGTACACGCATCGTTTCCAATATGGTGTCATGCTAGGAACGACATCATGTCATGCCAAGGCTGACAGGCTGTCATATTGTGCATGACAACGTGTTGTTTCCCTCAGGCACTATGACCTTCTTCCCTTCCACGGTCTATGCCGGTATATTGCATTTATACACTCTACAATATAATCATATCATATCATTTCATATCATATCATATCATATCATATATATATATACATGTATCGCATGTATATATTAATATATTAATATATATATATACTCGAGCTACTTTGTTTCACCTGTCAGACACTCCACGTTTGTTTTGGGGGAGTCTTTGTGCAGCTTGGCCCATCCATCCCCTTGTCCGCAGGTCCCCGGCCTCCTCGTTGACCTTGGCCCCCATCGTGTGGTGGCGAGGCGACTCGTCGGGAAGCGACGAAGCGCAGAGAAAGCACCAGGAAACACGGGACAGTCGCACAACATACCCAGTCAGTGGATATGTAACATGCCCAACCTTTCTGTTGGGAGTGGTGGCACCCCATCTTTCACAAGCACACCCCATGCCACGCTGTCTATGGATCTTTGAACTGGGGGACACCAGGACACCCTGTTTTTCCCAGTGAAAACGAACAGAACAACCCCAGTGTTCCGTGCCATTGTCCAGCTGCGCTTGATGGCCAACACCAACAGCCACGGAGGCTTGTAAAGTGCAGGAACAGCAGCTGGCCTCCTTGACAGTCCATCAGGACATGGAGGGTCGCGTCGAGGCGCAGAGCCTGGATAAGCAGGGATCGGAAAAGAATCTGGTGCTCGTGACACGGGTGGGTGATGCCTCCGAGCACACCGGATGCCACACCTCCAAGCATACCCGCCTCCGCTTCTCGGCGCAACAGAGCATGCTCAAGGCAGCCGTGCTTGCACGGTGAAACAGTACTTCAGATAAGAGCTCGATGAACATGATTTCTTGCTTTTGGCGACACGCCAAAAAATCCACACCGGCGGCTCATGACACCAATTAGCCTTCTGGACTCCTGGACATGCAAGAGCTCTCTTCTGCCTTCATGAGACTAATCAGCCTTATAGGCTGCTCCAGGTAAGAACAGTTCAGTCTACTGCAGTTTGACATGCTGATCCCAAGTGCTTTGATCAAGGCTGCAAGTCATGGCGCATTGTTTGTCACTGGACCCGGAAACGTGGTCGGAACAACTACCCGGGCGGGTAGCCGGGCTGTTCGAGGAGGCTCGAGATGCCGAGAGGAATCGTCGTACGCATGTCGCGAGAGGAGGCGAGGTTTCACGGCGACATGCCAAATTGCCAAAGGATCTACACGGTTCGCCTGTGGGGGTGGAAGAAGCGGAGGACCAGAGGACCAAGGGACCAGAGGACCAAGGGACCAGAGGACCAAGGGACCAGAGGACAAAGGGACCAGAGGACAAAGGGACCAGAGGACCAAGGGACGAGGGAACCATCAGACCAGGACCAAAGGAGTAGGTTGAATTTTATTTTTGATATATGAATTAATGTTTTTTGATAGGAATCATTTTGTATTGGTAGGAATCATGTAGGAGTCAATTTTTTTTTGATCGGTATCCCCTCCACCCACACCGTTTTGCTGGAGTCGGACAAAAAGGCGCTGCCCTGTTCTGGCGGGTACCCTACAAAAACCTTTAGCCTTTCGTCGCCATGAAGGCGGCGACCCTTCAGTGCCAGGAAATGATTTAACAGTACACCATTCTGTACAGCAGCCCTTGGCTTTGCCGCCGGCTTCGCCGAGCATTGTCGACGCGTTAAAGGTGATTTGAAAATCTCCTTGTCATACATCCCGTGAAGCACTATGGCAGACCTTCTAACACCAGATGTAGCAGACCTTTTTTTGTGAGCCACCCGATTCCCTATCTATGCAAACTAGTCGTTTATTCCAGCAGTCACAAAGGGGTGCTTAATGGAGGTTAGGGGTGCCCAGAACATCCACTCACTTAGGGACTAAGCACCACCCCTTTGTGACTCCTGGTTGGATCTATTTAATGATGTAAATGGTTTCTTTGCAAATTCAATCTTCCCCAGCACTCCACCCCTCAATTCCGGCGTGGCCGGGCACCGGTCTGCCGCACCGCACCGCCCGCAGAACGCCACAAGCTGAAACTTTTAGCCGAGCCAAAGGAATTGCAGCAGTACATACTGCTGGTGCGAGCGCTCGGTTGTGGTGGGTGCGGGCCTAACGTCCTAACTGCGGGGGGGCAAGTCGCGCAAGTCTTGGAGACAGGTTTCTTTGCATGGTTTGGAGAGGATTAGAGGGTCCATGGACCTTCGGGAATTGCGAAATGCAATTGGTGAACGGTTTGGTTTTAGTGGGATCCCGCATTTCGATTGTCATCATCCACCGGTGACTGGGCGGGTCATTGCAAGGAAACATAAAATTTATAGCACATATATCATAGCAGTGTTTGGCTGGGAGATTGTTGCAATTGCTATGCCTCAAATATAATGTTTTAATATTGTTATGCCTCAAATATCATGTTCACATTGTTGTTGAAGTGAAAGCTGGCGGGTTTTCTTGGATCCTTTGAATGAGATGTTAAGATTTGAAGTTTAAACTGGATGGAGAAGACACGCAGAGCTTCTCTATGCATGAGTATTTGAGACTTGTCCCAAAATGATTTCACAGTCAACTTGCTCAACAGTTCATACATTTTCATACATCATATGTCATCATCAATGTTTATTCCATAACCCACAACAATAGAGTCTTAGAGGGGTGTCTCTTGGAGGGGTAAACTGATCCTTTAAGCATCAGGGGAGCCGAAAGGACCAACGACCTTGAAGAAGAACGATCTTTCTTTTACGTCTTCATTTGTTGGGGTGGCTTCTTTTTGTGCTGGCTGGGGAAAGGGAAGATGTTAAGCCCTGCCGGCGTTGCAGCTGGTGTGAAGTTGAAGTCTGAAGATTGCTACATGACGGCCTCCAAACTGTTGGATTTCAGAGCCCAGTGGTAGATCGCAGAATGACCCAAATGGAGGTCCCTTATATGCTTGGAATCATGTCGCCTTCCACACGATCGAGCAAGAAGTAGAATGCACTAGAAACCACTGGAGTTTCGACCAAATCATATCAAAATCAGCTAGATTGAACAACTATATGGTGGATGGCGGTTCCCCCCAAACACCACCTGGCCACCGCCTGTCCTGCACTATAGTAGGATGGAGGTAAGGTTGAGGTCCTGAAACTTCAGCGAGCGAGACGGCCAACGACCGCATAGAAAATCTCATGACTCTTCTTCCTGAGGCTTTCAGGTCAGAATGGACCGACACAGTCAGAATGAACCGGCACGATCAGACTGGACCGGGCTTAGGGTAACATCGAACATCGCCATGTGGTCCGCCCTGGCCTTGGCCGCCTGGGCCTTTCTGCCGCCGGTTCTGGGCAACTACCCAGCGATCACGCCGGAAGAGGTCTGGTGTACCGTGCCCAACTATCGCCATTTGGAAGCAAGCTATTCACCTCTGTGGAAGCAGGACATCAAGTCACCAAATCATTTAGTCATCATCCGAAACAAATCATTGTAGCAACCAGTCTTGCGAGCAACACAGGGGGCAGCTATGACAGGGTCCTCATCTGAAGCCCTTTTTAGTTTTCGTCAACTTGACACTTGCCATGCTGTGAAACCTTCCTGAGGCTACTACCGCTGGACAGTGATCAAGGCTCGTGGATATCCCATTAGTGAAAGCCTGGACTGCAGCTATTCCCCAAAGCCGGATGGATGCAGCTGCAGCGTGTCCAGTGAGTGCCTCTCAGGCGGCGACTCTCTCCTCCCACCCGGAGCATGTCGTTGTTTAGGGCTTTGGGTCAAACATGGTCAAACATAGCTATGGGTCCCCCCCCCAGACCCCTGGTTCACAGCCACCCCCTGATGCCATGACTGTGGGGAACATTTGGGCCTTTTGGATCCACTCAGGCTTTTTGGATTCATCGTTTTGCCCCTACTTCCAGGTAGGATACAGATCTGATGAGCAATAGCTGCTATTAGCTGCTGATGAATTTGATCCGCTACATTTTCCTGGATCCTCCACCTCTTCCACCCATATATACCATTATATACTAAAGGCGAGACTGAATATCCTGGCAGCGAATATTATACTTTGCACCCCTGTTCCGCGTCACGCTCAGTCACGCCCGCGTCACGGTCCATCCTGCCGGTCCATCATGCTCTCAAGCACGTAGGAACACAAACTCCAATCTTAAGTTGTTAGATTTTAGATCGATCAATCGATTTCACACTCATGGCGCATTGGTTCACGAGTATAGAGGTGTCAACGGTTGTAAACATTGTGGCAGATGTTTTGTTCTGTGTTTGTTCTTTTTTAGGCTAGAAGCTTAGAACACATACCAAGTGTCACTAGGCTTGAATTCTTGCCAACAGCTTTTGCAAAAAGAAACATACTGGTTTGGCTCAGCCAGTGCTTGAGCCTTTTCGTTTGGTTTGTGGAAGATCCATCCACCCGAAAGCTCGGACGTCGCGAAAAAAGCAAGAGGCGAGCTCAGACCCGTCGTAGGCTACTGCATTGGTGGCACGAATTGCAGCTATCCCATCTATCAAGTGGCTGAATCTTCGGATGGCATTTCGAGCTTTTTTGAGAATCAACCAGTGACCCTCCATGTCACATTTGCCGATCAGTTGGGGTGCGTCCCATGGCGTGTTTGGATTTGGTTGCCCATGTTGGTGCTCCTGCATGATTATACAATATTATAGTTATAGTCATATACATCAAGTGTTCATAGACTGATGTATCGCCGGAATCCTAGGTGAGTTGCTAAGCCAAGCCTAGGTGTGTGCCCTTCTTGTTCTTCCCCTACGCCACGGAATGTCCTATTCATTGGGTACATAGTTGAAGTCCTTCTTCACCTAGCGTAAAAATACTTGCTGGGGCTCGGTTAAGCAGGGATGAATACCCACGATCTTCGGAATTCAATACTTGTAGAGGGCTGTTGTTTGAATTTGGCCAGATCCCAGATGAAATCGAAGGAATTGGAGTTCTATCGTGGAGGTTCAAAAGTCAATACCCAGAAGGTGAATGACACGGAGTTCGATGCTTATCGCGAGACTTGGCTGGGACCAATCGTGGGCGCAGCCTGCGGCTGGCAGATTTTGTTGTTTTTTGAGCTAAAATGACAGGATTTGCGTCCCAAATCTGGAGGTATTGGTCGTGTGAGATTGATTCTTGGACAAGACAAACTCATCCTACCATCCCACCCTTCGCCTTCAAAGACCATATATAGGAACCACCTGGTTGTTGTCGTATATCGTTGCAAAACGCCTACCCATGGGGTCGAGATCGGCATCTCTTCCAGTCGACGGGTGGGTGGTGATCAGCTGAGGTGGTGAATATGAATGAGATACCACAGACCTGGGGCATTTGGGAGCTTGAGTTTTACAGCGACACGAGTCGCTTTGCGGCATGGAGCTGGTGTAAGAATTGCCGGAGCTGTACATAGATCGAAAGGAAGACGATTGGTAAATACATGAAAAGAGCAGACAGATCAGACCCAAGGTATGCATGTTTTGAGCGTGTTGTGTGTTTAAGTTTGGGGTTGCCATTTAATGGTTGATGGAATCCATGTCCATCAAAGGTCCTGTTGTTTCTCCACAATCCCAATGCATCATTAATCTGTTTCAAGTACTTTCAACCTGAAGGAAGAACAACCAATCGCCAAATAACTAACTCTACGGCACCAAATTTATGAGAGGGTGTGTTTTTAGTGTTATCATGATATCCGGCTTTCAGTCTGACTCAGGTTTTGTTGGGAACAAAGTAAAGTTGCTTGCGGTTTCAAGGAATTTTCCCGGGCGCACAGGGACCCATGACGGCCCGAAAAAAGAACCCTGAGACTCAGACTTCCAATATGGTCAAATTCCATTGGTCTTTGTATCAAGAAGACTTTCGTTTTAATCCCTATTCAAACCCAGGTAACCAGACTTGGCTCGATCGATCGATCGATCCACACCATCTCTGGACTTGGCTCCGTGGATCTGGTCCGCTCCACCTGGAGGTTGCAGCACTCTGATCAATGGCAACGGCACTGTGATCTCCTCCTCGGCCATGGCTGCCGGCTTTGGGCATTCCATCGATCACACAGCCCCGTTGGGCCTCCATGCGCCTAGCCACACCTCCCTAGCCCTCCCCCCTTCTCGGGCGAGTAGACGGAGGTTTGAAGCGTCTGAAGGACGTAGCCAGGAACTGGGTGGATCACCTGCCCAAGCTTTTGTTGTTGGGGAACTGGTGCTTTTCACCCCATCTTTCACGAGTAACAGGGAACCGTTCGTTCGTTCGGTTGAACCGTTGAACCATCTATTTTCCAAGCGACCACCGGCGATGACGGAGGCCAGTGTAACGAGGTCCCAAAAGTCTCAAACATCTCAATCATGTCTCGACACAAACGTCCACACAACCAGTTCGGACCCAAACAAGGACCCTGTGTGGGGTCTCACACGTTTAGGGTTCAGACCCGTTGAGTTTGGAGTTTGGACCCAACCAGTTTCGCGGTTGTTTGGAGTAACCGGACACCGCGAGTATCCGCGAGTTCTGGACCGAATGAAAGAGAGACCCGGACCGCATCCCTGTGCGAGCGATTGGTTGCGGAGACATATATTGGGATATATTGGGGTGATGTGTCTTTTTTTTCCCGGGTCAATGCCCTGAGCATGGGGAAGTTTAATCGTTTTTGAGGTTCATTTAAGAAGCAATCCAAGGAAGACATGTAGCACGATGAACGTCTGGGTCGTAGGGTCTAGACTTCGCCCAGCGGGCCAGTTCGCCGCGAACCGTGAGCCGGGTGGCGTCGAAGGAGTCGAATGACGTAGAGGTTCCATGCGATGGCTCAACCCTGCACCGACTTCGTCGGACCTCCTCAGGTTCGGTATGACTGGAGACCTAGGGCAAATTAATACTCTTTTTGGTCCCCTTGTTATAGCGATGACCACCACCCTAGTAGCAACTCTTACAGGTGCCAAGCACCCCTTGCAAAGAGGAGGAGAAGCCACGCGAAATGCACGGTGTTTCATGGTGGTGTTCCTGGATGTCGCTGAGGACACGCCCAGAACCTACTGGCAATCAAGGCCAGGCTTGGGCAAGCTTGAAGTCTTGGTGTGCGGATTTGTCATGAAGTATCGAAGTATTGGATCTGTTTGA